AGATCAGCAAAGAATAAGAAGAACATGCAAAAATAAGAAGATCAGCAAAGCATAAGAAGAAGATGCAAAGAATAAGAAGAACATGTAAGTAAAAAGAAGAACAGCAAAGAATAAGAAGAACAAGAATAAGAAGAACATGCAAAGAATAAGATGAAAATGCAAAGAATAAGAAGATCAGTAAAGAATAAGAAGAACATACAAAGAATAAGAAGATCAGTAAAGAATAAGAAGAACATGAAAAGAATAAGAAGAACATGCAAAGAATAAGAAGATCAGCAAAGAATAAGAAGAACGTGCAAAGAATAAGAAGATCAGCAAAGAATAAGAAGAACAGCAAAGAATAAAAAGAACATGCAAAGAATAAGAAGAACAGCAAAGAATAAGAAGAACATCCAAAGAATAAGAAGAACAGCAAAGAATAAGAAGAACATACAAAGAATAAGAAGATCAGCAAAAAATAAGAAGAACAGCAAAGAATAAAAAGAACATGCAAAGAATAAGAAGATCAGCAAATAATAAGTATATGAGAAGAATTTTCTCTACTTAGAGCAAACATTAATAGAACATGGAAGAATAAGACCAAGAAAAATCCATCTTTGATAAGAAATAACATGGAAGAAAAAGACCAAGCAGAATATATCTCAGAAAAGAGAGAACATGGAAGAATAAGACCAAGAAGAATCCATCTTTGATAAGTAAGAACAGGGAAGAATAAGACCAAGAAGAATCCATGTGTTGTGAGTTTTGACTTATGAATACTGTAAAGGTTAAGTTCCAAGAAGAACCCTATCTTTACTAAAAGATAAGAACACCAGTATAATTCCAAAAATGATATATCCATCTACATATTGAGTTAGCAGACACTCAAGAATAGGGTCGAATACACACGTCTCGACCATAGGTTATTCACAAATTCAGTTACTCCAACTATATTTCTTATAAAAGAAAGTTTATCGAAAAATTCTCCGATGCAGAATTTTTTCTGAACTTTTTAATATCCTCTTACAGTCTTGAAATCATCTCTGAATTGTTCAGTAGATCACCCATCCAATATCTTAGAACAAACCTCTTCAGTAAAAACTATTAAATTATTCTTTTATTTAAATGCTCCCCACTTTTAAAACCAGAACTTCATGAAAATTTACCTGAAATCGCCGCCTCGCCTAAATTTAGGAAACCCCTATTGACCCATATTGCATATTACTTTTAAAGACAATAAAATGCCAAGAACAGCCAGGGTGCTCGTCTGTTTGTTTGTGTCCAATAAACGTCAAAACGGCTGAACCGATCAAGCCCAAATGTTGACCCCAGGGAAGGTTTATGAAAATAAATTCCCAAAAACTTTATATTTTTCATACAATTTTGAAAATCAACGGAAAAAAATTGTGAATCTGGAAATTTTGCAATGTTTTATCGGAGAGAAAATGCTGGAAGATTATACAACAATTAAAAGTTTAGGATAGGCGCGGAGCGCCCTGATAGCCAAGTGGTGAAGATATATTGAAACACCCAAATCTTGGAATACCCTGTTACCTTGCACATTGAGTTGCAGATAACATCAAGATTAGGAGTGTTCAGAGGTTTATGGATAAGTGAATACCTATTGACTGTCCGTATTATCGTAATCAGTTTTGACAAGTGTACACATGGAAACTTTAGACAACGGGTTACCAAACTGAGTTTCGAGTAGAACATATTTTGATGTTGTATCGTGACGATTAATTTAGAGAGGAAAATTGATTTAATATGTCCAAGAAGTTGACGTATCACATCCACGAAACAAAGTCTTCAATCCCAGTTTCACAAATTGCACAAAAGTTGTGTGTTTCTAATCAGTTTGATGAAATAGATTAGGGAGGGGGGGGGGGGGGGAGAAAAGAAGTACACTCAATTTGGCACAGAAGCCAAGCAACTAACAAATCTTACTTAAATCTCTGATTGATCAAATGTAATAATTCAATATGCAAAGATTTATTCTATTTCACATAATTACTTAATTATGATACAAACTCCGGTGATTACAAAACTTATTTGTGTTACCAATATGTAACACTGTAATGAATATCGAAAAACACATTATTCTGTTAACCTGAAGTACATTGGTCATTCTTAACCATCTACGTTTGTAAATTTCTACGTAAAACCATTTATTCATTTGAACTGCGCTTCAAATTAATATGTAGCATGATTAGCTTAATCATGTGATATTTATAATGACATACATCTTAATTGCACCTATTTTAACTGTGCTGTAAATATGAAACATATAAATAAGCCTCAAATACAATAGTTGTTAAAGAGACTCCGCTTTGATTACTGCGCGAGAGTAATCGTGTCCTTGTTCTAAACGAATGAGTTGAAGATCATGTCCAAGTTGAGGCATTGATAGTTTCAAAGATCATGTCCTAGTTGAGGCATTGATATCTCAAGATCGTGTCCTAGTTGAGGCATTGATAGTTTACAAGGTTATGTCCTAGTTGAGGTATTGATAGTTTACAAGATCATGTCCTAGTTGAGGCATTGATAGCTCAAGATCATGTCTCAAAGTTGAGGCATTGATAGTTTAAAAGATGTGTCCTAGTTAAGGCATTGATAGCTCAAGATCGCACCCTAATTGAGGCATGGATAGTTAAGTGCTTGTGTCCATTTAGACATAAATAGCTGATTGCGCCCATTGGTTTGGTGCTAATCAATTTTGAGCTTGTGTCCGTGTAGACATTGATAGCTGATGAGATGGTGTCCGGGTTTAGGCATTGTATAGCTAAGTAAAACTGAATTGCACCTGAATAGATACGGGTTTGAGAGCAGTTTATGGAGTATGGTTTTTACTACAACCCATCAATCCCCGGAGAAAAATTGATTAAGTGTCGATTTTGCAGAACTTTGTTTTGTAAGTTCGCATATTATAAGTTTAAAATCCTGATTTCGTTATCATCTATTTGAAAAAATATCGAGAAACCAAATTAAAATACAACTTGAAATAAGTTTGATTTAAACCATTTCTTATTGGTGTATGCGATATTTTTGTCATTAAAACAATATTAAGATTTCGATTTCTGTTATTAACATTTTAGCATCCGATGGGTTCGCTAGGGATGATTGTTTAAAAAAAAATAAAAAAATAATCTAAGGGATCAAGTACAGAGAAAAAACTTCTTACATGTTGTTCGTCAAATCGAACTTACCAAATGCATTTCGAAATTACTATATTTTATTCAAACTACAACATAATATTAAGGATTCAATCTCAAACGTCAAACATTTGTGAGATATCCTGAACAATTTGTTCACAATTCCGAACTAAACGTCCGTAATTTTGTAAATTTTTAATAAAAATGCAGAAAATGAGAAAATGAGTCCCAGAAAGAAAAAATAACTTCCAACTACCCGCAAATATGATGAAACTAAAATGGCGAACTAAAACTCCTAAAATATCGCGTTGAAAGTTAATTTCGAATATATGCTTTTCATTATTTATAAAAAATAATACATGAAGTATAGCAACGAGATATAACAAGCATACAGCCATGCCTTAATTTTGAAGAATTATGGCAAAAAGAAAAGTTACGGAAAATCTAACGATTTCAACAACAACAAAAACAACATGATAACAACAATGACAACAATAACAACAATAAATAGCAACAATGATAATAACAACAATGACAACAATAACAACAACATTGACAAAAATAACAATAATGGCAACAATGACAACAATGAAAACAATAAGAACAAATAGCAACAATAGCAATATGTAATAACAACAATAGCAATAATAACAATTAGAATGAAATACTGATAAAGAAAACAGTACCAATAAAAATGGAAATAACAATAATAATAACAATAATAATAACAATAACTTGAAAATAAGATGAGCACCAAAAAGTTAAATTAGGAAAATACAATAATAATAACAACAATAATAAAGATTTTCAGAATTACAGCGAACTAGTGTACATTTGTATGTATTGTATAACCAAGCGTAAGAGTAGAAAACTCAATTACTTATCTCTAGAAAAATCTAAATTCATCTGGAGCGAGGGGTTAGAAAGTGTAGTTAGAGAGGGGCGTTGATTTTTGGCTTTTTTTGTGTGTATTCAAACTTTTAAAATGTTACACAAAAATATTAAATCTGAATTCTGATTACATAAATCGAAGTTAAAAAAAAGTAAGCCCATAAAATCATTTATTATTTTGGAAAATGCACCATTTTTACACAGACAAATCCGCAGACAGTATATATTTTGTTTTTTGCAGAGTACGATGAAAAATGATGACTTTAAAAGCAAGAGTAAAAACTAAAAACTAAAAAAGGAGCGTGAAGCTTCATAAAAGCTTTGTGTCATATATTTTCATTCTTTGCAATTCTGGATCAAACTATTATACGTTTAAATTTCCTTCTAATTAAAAAATTACAATTAAAAATATTAACAAATTTCTCTATCTATATAATAAAACAAGACATTCGCATATATATAAATGTTGCGTATAGCCGGCCAAACGGCTGGACCGATTGGGCTTAAATTTTTTGAGGAAACTCATGGGTGGCTGGGGGTGTTGTAGGCTTAAAATAATTCGAAATTATTTTTCAAATTTTTTTTTTCCATTTTTTCTCATTTTTTGTTGAAACCTTAAATCTCAGGTCAGAGTAAATTTTTAAATCTATTTAAAAAAAAGCGAACAAATGTAAATTTTTTTAAAACATGATAAACATTGTTGAGTCATAAGAATAAAAAATCTTGAATGTTGAAAATGTAACGAAACAACTATGCCCATTTCTAGCTATGAGTAGGATACAGGGGTAGAAAGAACACAAAGGGTTTAATGCGAGAACATGATACGAGGGAAATAAAATCAGTATTTTTTATTCTGTCACTGCTTTAGAAGTGGTAAATATAATTCTTAATGTTTTTACTATTTATTTATAATTTAACTAAAATGTAACTACAATATTTTTCTAGTTTACATAAATTCTAATTTAAACAAACATTTTCCAACATATTTAGATATCTGATATTTGTTTGAATTCTCCAGCATTCATTTTACTCCAGTATTTGGAAACTTCTGAATAATCCGCCAAAATTTTATCCATTGTTTCTAAAATTCTCAGTTCGTTCGAACATAACACAATTTGCTACATTTTTCATTAAAATTCTCTAAATGCACTTAAATTTCACAAGAAGGGGATCATTAATTTGGCGTTTATCTAGTTTGCCTTAAACAATAAACAGCCTGTAAATGTACTGTACAGCCTGCAACAGCTGATTACTAGAAATTGAAATTGAAATTATCCGGAGTTTACAGTGAAGGACAAAAATGAATTTTCTGAGAAAATTCATGTTTTACAAATTAAACGAAAAACGAATTTAAGGCATAAAATCTATTTTCTTATTTTTCAATCTTAACTAAGATTTGATAAGAATCAAATTTTTAAAAAAATCAAAACCAAGTTTTCAAATTCTTATCGAACATGTAGTCATTTAAAAAAAATACGTAAAGTAGGAAAATGATAAATCTTGAGCGTTTCCTAAATTTTCCCAATTCCTTGCCGGTAAAAACCTAAAATATTTCAATTATTTAATGCAAAGATTCCATTCTTTAGATTTTAGAGCTGGTTATTTTAGATAAAAAACTTACTTGAAGAATTTGTCCTCTAGTTCATCCACTATTTTTCTTTGCTCAGAAGTTAACCTGAAAAATATTTTAATTTTCAATTTGTTAGGCTTGAATTTGTTTGTATGTTAGCTATAGCTGGCCAAACGGCTGGACTGAATGGGCTGAAATTGTTTAAGGGAACCCATGTAGACATATTTTTAAATATTTTTTTTTCAAATTGAATTTTTTTTCAAAATTCATAAAAAAAATTTTACGGACAACGCCGGACACTTCAGCTAGTATTCTTTAGATTCTAGATAAAAAATTATGAAAGGGCTAATAGTTGCCTTGATTCCATTTTAAAGGAAAACTTACTTTATTCGTCCCGTGGAAACTTTTAAAAGGTTGAATGTTTTGTCTTGCATCACTTTAGCGAATTATATGTCAATGAGTTATGTAAGCTTACTTTGGTTCTAAACACTATAATAGGTTCCAGACAGGAAGAATATAATTTTCACCATAGTTAAAAAGCTTTGTCACCTTTGAGTTGATAGTTCTACATTTTTAGCAGCGAGACCCCTGCACAGTGCACATACAATATAGAATTGAAAAGTAATCATATTTTTACTATCAAAATTTTAATAAAATACAATTAAAAACAAATGCGCTTTAGATCCATTAAAAAAATTTATAAAATTTCGTCTTGAATATTTTTCAATGGGTTTTTTACTATTATTCCTAAATCTCAGTGATCGCAAAAACAAAAAAAAATAGCCATGAAATACGTTAAAAAGAGTTTATTATTATTCGATTTAAAAAAAACATAAATATCTGCAGCATTCCTTTACCTTTAGGTTCAGAAAACGACATTTTATAAATTCTTTCGATGTCGATGTATTGGGTATACCACTGTAAAAATATATCATTGAATTAATCATTTCACCTGTCTGCAGTCGAAACTAGAGTTGTTGTGACATCCTAAATGAACAATTTAAAATTATTTTGAAACAGCCTAAATTGAGATGAAAACAGATGAAGATGATACGATGAAGATCATCATTTCGGATTATGCAAGGATGTAATGCAAGGAAAGTTATTTCAGAAGTGTACGCATCTTTTGTACTGCAGTGTACTGTCTCTGGCATGTCTCTGGGCGGTAATGTAAACACAAGACGGATATCGATCAGCAATTAACTTTCCTTGCATTACAACCTTGGGATTATGCAATTGTGTTCCATGAACATTTTTTGATAAGAGGAGCAGGGGTGTTTCTAGTTCCTTTACTGAGGTTGGTTACTGGGAAGGCTGTTCCCCCGTGTCGGAAAATTCTTCAACAACGATTTTCTTTTATATACGATTGCTTGTAGTCTTGTGATTCGTTAGAAATTATATTTCCAAGACCTGCGAAAATCAAAGATTTCAGTCTTTTAATAAACATGTGCCCGGAGGTTCGTACCCCCCCTAGTTGCGCCACTTAAGAGGATAATAACAGGTTGTCTTTTTAAGATTATTTTTGTTGTTCTTTAATTTTGCCTTGTTGATGCTTAAACGTACAGAGTGATGAAAAAAACGAGAAAAAACATGGCAGCCATGATAATGCAGTATATTTTTTCTTTTTGAAAAAAATATTTTAAATGGAAAATTTGAGAACAAATTAGATAATACCTGGTCTATAGTCCATAGTAGGGCAAGCTCACTAATATCCATTCCTCTTAACAAAAACAATTAACACTGTACGTTCGTATGGAGTACAATAGGGTTTTAGATGAAGTAGCAATAGGGTTTTATGTACTGCAACTTGCAATTGGCACAATTTTGATTGAATCAAACAAAACATGCACATCATTTTAGCTCTTTATAACTTAAGGCTAGAGGGTTTACAAAGATTACTATGGAATGGGGGCAATATTGTACTAAATACTACAAATTTACCTTTCTTGGCAGTATTTTGCTGCTTTTAGACAGGATGTTCTACAAAAACATTTATAGTACGGAACTATGGAATATGAAGACGACATTAAAGCAATACTGAAGTGTAATTGGGTCTGTTTACACTGCACAATTGCTGTGTATCATGTTCATTTGATTATTCAAAGATATAACTTGTGTTTAAAAGTCGTTTTCCGATTCCAAAGTTTTCTGCATTTGTTTTATGTTTATATCTATCCTATGCTTTTTTCCATACGCGTTATATAGGTTAATAGATCTTCTTAATAAAATTTTATAGACAAGAGGTCATATTTTTAGCTAGGTGTTTTAGTTGAAACATCATTATATTTGTTTAAGTGGTTTTTCATTATTAACGTTTTTTTCCTCGCCTTTTTCTAATATTACCAATCTTGCTTTGAAAAATAGCTGTTTGGAAGGCAAAACAGGTAAGGAAATAATAAACGACGACCAACGTAAGTATATTTTTTTTGAATTTGTATACTTATAAATAAAAAGATTAACTTTTTAGAATACCTATTGCGATCACCCTGGACTAATCAGGGCTAATTGGTTTGGTTTCCTCAATTTAAATTTAACCGAAATTTGGTCTGTCTAAATATATACTTGGCTTGTCTGTCTGTCTGTTTGTTTGTATCCAATAAACGTCAAAACGGCTGAACCGATCGGGCCCAACCTTTATGTGGGATCTCACGTGACCGCAGGGAAGGTTTATGGATAGTATAATTTTCAAAAACTTGCTTTTAACAAAATTCGATTTTTGAAAATTTTAAAATCCGCGAAATTTTTTGTTTTGTTGTAACTTGTGCAATGTATACAAAGAGAACATGTTCACAATTAAAACATATATAAATTATAATTCAAGAATTTTTAAACTCGCTGAGTTCTCTTTTTCTATTTTCTTATTCTAAACACATCCACCGGCAAAAGTTGAGGTAAAATTTGAATCGGAATTTAAAGCTTGCTGAGAATAGGACCGAACGATGAACTAGTATAAGATTTTAACCCAAAAAAATCCAAAATTGCGAATTTACTTTATGAGTGGTGTAGCTGGATGCCAATTAGGCGGTCCGACTAAACTAAGTAAACCCATTCCTGAAAACAAAACAATTTTAATAAATGTCGTCTTTTAAAACAGTTTTCCTATGAATTAGTAATTTTAGCTGAAAAACTAGAAAATAAGACTTCTCAATTTTTGGATTGGGAAAACGGCTCGCAAATCTTTCCGAAAAAAATTGCAGCCTGTTCAATAGTTTCTGTCAAATACAGGGTTACCCGCAAAGGATAATAAGACTTCAGAGACGACTGTACATAAATTATACTGTCTATACCCTTATGTTAGGCTTCTCTGCATCTGCATAAACTGGATTCTTTCGTTGCCATGTTGATAAATAGACAATTAAAAAGACAATAATCAAGGCAGAATACATAAATTAACCTTTTAATCGTCATATTTTATGAGTTACAGGTCGTCTTTACAGTATTATCCTTTGCGGGTAACCCTGTGTTAAAAGGATGTGTTGCCATTTATTAAGAAATTGCGGTATTCTTTTTCATTCATTTAAAAATGTTTTCTGAGTATTCTAAAATGGGACTAAAAAATCAAAAGAAAGAATAAAAATTCTTACTGTCATTTAAAGTTTTTTTAATTCACAAAATCTAAAAGAAAAAACAATTTTTCTTGAAAAGTCACCATGGTATTTATGGCATTTAAATATTTATGAATAATTTATATTCATTAAATGCATATCTAAATTGGTCTTCGTCTGTTTGCTTGTTTGAAAAATTAAAAAAAGTTCTGAGAAAAAAGGTCGACTTTTATGATTTTAATAAATCCTTCAATTTAAACAGAAAAAATCCGTGAAAATTGTAAAACAAAACTCTAATGATTAAAATTGTATTTTTTTTGGTTGTGTTCTTTGCTGTTATTTAAGATTCTTTGGATTACATACTTCATCTTTGATCCTTGATTGAGTGGAAATAAATCATCAAAAATGTAGGCTAACCATTTTATTTGAGAAATAAAATTTTTTTTTATTATATATGGCATTACAAAACTAGATAATCTTTTTCTAGTTAACTCATTTAATTTTAAAAGCTACATTTTCAGTCTTCGGTCAGTTTACCACGTTAAACATGTTTAGAATCCAATTAAACCATATTTAAAATGGCTTAAGTTTCATCCTCTGGTTACTTAAGTTTCAGCCTCTGGTTACTTAAGTGTGTAGAAGAAAAATGTTGCATCACATTGAACTAGTCAGAGAGAGAATTTAAAATTTATGCGATATTACTAGTACGACTGAGTGACCTCGCAGATCTTCTAGTTTTTATTTTATACAAAAGTATGAGAAAGATATATTTATTCAATAACATATTAGAAATTAAAACTTTTTTTTCTCAATATAGCTTTTAATAAGGGTAGTTGCGATTAAAAACATTAAATTACGTGCAATTTTGTTGATAGATCAAAGATTATAAGTATCTCTTTGTCATACTAAATGGGACACCCTGTAGTATACCTATAGGAGATGCATTTATCAATCCTATTCCCTGAAAAAAAGCAATGTTATGTTCTGAGAATTAATCTTTGTGCGATCGAGCATATTTTTTTGAAAATCTAGAACCTAGAGATGGGCGAGATCAGCTTTTTCATTTTATTCGTTTATCGTTCGTGAACGACTCATTTCGTTTGTTCATAGTTTGTGAAAGACCCATTTTGTTCGTTTTTAAATCGTTGAAAAAAATTTAGATTTCGTTCTTTCTCAAAATTATGGCTGATTTTCCATCTATTTTGTTCGTTTTCTCAATAAACTATCATTCAGTAAAATCGTTCGTTCGATGAAATAGTTCTTTAAAAATTCTTTTGGAAAAAATCGTTCATTTAGCAAAAACCTATTGTGTTTTTAAAAGTTTGCTCGAAAAAACATTCGTAAGAGTAAAAAACGATAGTTTTTCTCTGAAAGTTCCAAGTCGTTGGCTCATTGTTCGTTTTTTTTTCTGAAGGAAATAATTTCGTTATTTCTTAAAAAATTTCGTTCGTTCGATGTTAATTGCCCATCTTTACCGAGGACTCAGTAAAAAAGTTTGTGTTTTAAAATTTTGATACAAATAATTGTTTTTAAGCCATTATTCTATAACGTAAATTTTAAACCATATAGAAGTTAATTTAAACCTTTTCTTTGAAGAAGTTTTGATATCTGCCCAACAGAGAACTGTAGACAAAAATTATTGAAACTTTTAAAACATTTAAACCCAAAATTTATGAAAAAAAACTTTATCATTTCCAATCCTGATATCTATTTTTTTCATTTTTGGCAGTATCTGACATGGTTACTCTGTCGGGTCCTTAAGTTTTTACGAAAGTTTAAACCCCGCCACCAAAAAAAAATTATTTTAGCTATCAACTGAAAAAGTATATTAAATTTTCCTGTCTAGTATTGTAGCTCTGCAATAGCTAAGCACAGTTGAAATAGTTCCTAAAAAAATATTTGGTTTATAAATGTGTGACACATAATGAAACTATTATTTTAATGGGAGTGTTCGCGAAAAATTAAAGGAGGTATAGGTTTACGTCGAAAAATGTTCTATGGGGTTCGCTACTAATTTTACTTCTATCTGTTAGGTCTATAAGGAGAAAATTGTTAAAACCGAATCATATACAAATTCAGAAAGTAGCAATATTATACTCGGATCGTATGAAAATCAATTTAATTCCAAATAAATTATTCAGATATTTTAGATTTTTAAAAAATTAAGATTTCGCTTACAACTTGTGTTCACGGCTGGCGCTGGATTTTCGAACATTCCTGGAAAATATGAAAATGTCGTCTTCATCATCAAAAATCCTCGAAACAGGAATAAATGTTTTTAAAAGTAAATCTCGGATCATAAAAAAAGAAATATTATAAAGTACCAACTATATAAACGAATGCGTCGAAAAATTATCAATGATTATAGGTTGTGATATCTGAATGATTTGTTTTGAATTAAAGGGACCGTTCACTTATTTGTGTAATTTCATGGTAAACTATTTAGCCTTTTAGCTGTTAATTGATATTAGTCTTACTTTTCAAAGACAATTGTGGCCGGAGAATAAGTCGATTTTTCGTTCAGAATTCGAGCTCAAAGGGACAGTCCCTTTGTCTACACTCTATTTGATGTTTTTTGTCGATGTCATGGATTAAAACAAATTTCGAATATAAAATTAAACTTTAGTATCCAATAGTCAATTGAAAATGTCATAATTTAAAAAAAAAAAATTTCAACTTTCTATTTTCAACATAACATTTTTTTAGCGCATAGAACAATATACCTGGAGGTAGGAGATTAATCAGTCTACATATTGTATCCATGTTGTATCCAGGATCCCAATATACCTGGAGGTAGGAGTTTTATCAGTCTACATATTGTATCCAGGTTGTATCCAGTGATCCCGATATACCAGGAGGTAGGAGATTAATCAGTCTACATATTGTATCCAGGTTGTATCCAGTGATCCCGATATACCAGGAGGTAGGAGATTAACCATCCTACATATTGTATCCAGGTTGTATCCTGTAATCCCAATATACCTGGAGGTAGGTGGTTAACCAGCCTACATATTGTATCCAGGTTGTATTCAGTGATCCCAATATACCTGGAGGTAGGAGATTAACCAGCCTACATATTTTAACCAGGTTGTATCCAGTGATCCCAATATACCTGGATGTAAGAGATTAAACAGCCTACATATTGTATCCAGGTTGTATCCTGTAATTCCAATATACCTGGATGTAAGAGATTAACCAGCCTACATATTGTATCCTGGTTGTATCCAGTGATCCCGATATACCTGAAGGTAGGAGATTGACCAGCCTACATATTGTATCCAGGTTGTATCCAGGATCCCAATGTACCTGGAGGTAGGAGATTAACCAGCCTACATATTGTATCCAGGTTGGATCCAGTGATCCCAATATAACTGTAGGTAGGAGATTGACCAGCCTACATATTGTATCCAGGTTGTATCCAGAATCCCAATGTACCTGGAGGTAAGAGATTAATCAGCCTACATATTGTATCCAGGTTGTATCCAGGATCCCAATATACCTGGAGGTAGGTGGTTAACCAGCCTACATATTGTATCCAGGTTGTATCCTGTAATTCCAATATACCTGGATGTAAGAGATAACACAGCCTACATATTGTATCCAGATTGTATCCAGGATCCCAATATACCTGGAGGTAGGAAATTGACCAGCCTACATATTGTATCCAGGTTGTATCCAGTGATCCCAATATACCGAACCAAACCTGTAAAATATACAAGATTGTTATCAAACCTAAAAATTGGATTAAAGATGTTAGCATCTGATTGTTACTGTCACAGAAGAACTGATAACTCGCTTTGAAATATAATTTTCAGCTCCCATTATATTTTTAACACGATGGTGTTTTAATATTTCAAAGTTTGACTATTTGATCCAACAGAATTCATAATTTGGGTCGTGTAAACCTTTACCATGAAGCTTAATTTGGTTTTAATTGAATTCTACAACTACGAAACAAAAATAAAAGTTGCCTCAGACTCTAATCGTTGAACCCATATCTTTGCAACCTGGTGNGATTACATATTTTGATAAAAGTTTAAGCTTAACGAACTCTAGGTTTCATATATCTTGGATTATACGCAGGCTTCTTAAAGGGACTGTAAGCGTAATTTCAAAGATGGCAAGGTCCCATTTACAACCTTTATCTAATCAAGTATGAATTAGATATCAATGATTTTGTTTCTTTAAACTATTTATTTTCATTTGCGGTTTTATTCTTTGAACTAACCTAGTAATTTGTGATGTATGATTGCAGGATTAGTATGCTGAACTAGCTGAACTAGCTGACCTAACCTTGGGATTTGAGCTGTATGAGTGGGGGTATAGTATGCTGAGCTAGCTAAACTAGCTGAACTAACCTTGTGATTTGAGCTGTATGAGTGCCGGTATAGTATGCTGAGCTAGCTGAACTAGAGATTCAGCAAATTCAACATCGTGAACTTGAATCAGATCAATGTAATCAACCTAGACATCAAATACATAATTTTTATTATTTACATTGTTCTTTTTTTTGTATCGGTTTTTTGTGTGTGGGGGAGGGGTCAGGGGGACACCCCACCACTGAAAAATTAGATGGAATGTCCCTCATCCCTTAAAAACTTAGATGGAATGTCACATCATTGCTGATAAAATTAGATGGAATGTCCCCCATCCCTGAACAAATTAGATGGAATGTCCCCCATCCCTGGAAAACCTAGATGGAATGTCCCCTCATCCCTGAAAAATTAGATGGAATGTCCCCCCACCGCTGAAAAAATTAGATGGAATGTCCCCCATCCCTTAAAAACTTAAATGGAATGTCCCATCATTGCTGAAATAATTAGAAGGAATGTCCCCCATCTCTGAAAAAATTAGATGGAATGTCCCACCATCCCTGAAAAATTAGATGGAATGTCCCCAAACCTAGAAGAGTTTTTAGTTGAAATAATCCGATTAAAAAATCAGTCTAAAATTTTTAAACTTGCATTGAATTTTTTAAAGCATATCCACCAATACGACCAGTGGTTTCTAGAAAGAACCAATAAATTCCGTCCAATCTAAAATGGAAATATTTAAATCCTGTAATCTATATTGAACGATAATTAACAAATAAAAAAATAATTTAGTGATCATTATTTATTTAAGAAAAAAAAAAAAAGATTATGTCAGTTCCTGAAGTCTTGCTAAACTCTCTTTCACACTGCTAACCACTTTATCCTTACTTTAAACACATACATTTTTTAATAGAATTAAGTCTTTGCCAGCACAAACTCTGATTTTTTAATCCCTTTATCTTTGCAACCCAATGTCTGAGAGCTTGGATATTTAAAACTAAGAATTCTGTTGGATCATAAAATCTAAGTTTAAAATATTTATAATCTACACTTTCAGATTTCAAGGATAGAAAATTTGAGTTTGCGGCAGACTCAATTCCTTTTTGCTAAAATTATTTTAAATCGGTATTTTTTCATATATGAATGGTAACTTAAAACAATGTTAAAATTCATAAAAAAAATAATTTTCCCATTTTTTCTAATATATATATACGCATATTCCTGAAATTAAACATGTGCTCTGTATCAGCCTCATACCGTCCAACCTAAACAAAACATTGAAAATTTCTAGGAAAAACTACGAATAGAATAATTTCCCAAGGGCATTTTCCCAATCGGCAACTTCCCAAGGATATTTTCCCAAGTATCAACTTCCCAAATATGCAATTTTCCAAATGTGCAATTTCCCAATCGATAACTTCCCAAGTCTGTCCAAAGCCGCAGTGCAAATAATCTTAGAAAAACAATAATTTCTTAATATATAAGTTTAAAAATCATATGTATATCAAAATTGAAAAAATAAATTATTTATCAGTGATTTCCTCCATTTCTATTTTCACATCTAGTAAGGGTATCCTGTATAGTGTTTAGTGTTGAATCTTTGATGAGACTCTGAAGGACAT